ATCACTGGAACAAGAGTTTTATTTGCCTGACGTTTCGGATTCCCTCGGGAATGCTGAAAACGGAAATATATACGATTTTTGCCCGATTCGCTTACGAAGTATATGAAGAATTTAAATAATTTCCGGTATATGCAATTATACAGATAGGAAGTATAACCACACAGCCTGTTAGACTATTTATTTATAAAAGTGCGTGTTAAAACCTTTGTGGTTTTATTGCGATATTTTCATTGGAAAGATGGCCCAAAGGTTTTTTAGTTCAAATAAATAAGACCTTGACATTTAATTAATGCTCCAATCATTCTCTGAACAGCCACGAAAGCAACCCTTCGACTTTATTGCGCAGGGATACAATTATATGTTTTTGCTTAACGTAGGAAGAATAAAAATCTACCAAAAATATATATTCAGCCGCATTATTCTTTGGAAACTACATAGGCATTTTAATAAGCTCTGCACTCTCTACTTGTCCAACCCTCTGTTAATACGGGCTAGGGTTCGTGGAAATCTGAAGTGATGCACTTCTTTTTTTCAGAACGGCATATGCTTATAAAATCACTGTAATGTGAATCTCAAAATATTTCCTAGATTGGAGTTTCACTGAAACAATTAAAACAAAATTTTATGCCGCAAGATAAGACAAAAATAATTAGGTTCTGGAGGGAATCATTCTACTTTAAGGATTTTGGTAACAATAAAGCATGCCGAAGTCCTTAGATATCCCTATTCCCAGTATTCTGCCTTACGAGGGCGGTAGTTCTAGGGATTTTATGATTGGGTCATATCACGGGAAAGAAAAAATAACTTAAAAGGTAAAGCGTATAAAAGCAAAAAATAAAAGGAATAAATACTAACTAGTCAAAAAATCGTGTGCGATAATTAAAATCACGAATACAAGCGAAAGGAACAAGGACAGCGCAAAATGCGTACAAATATCGACTCCATATCGAAATTTTGAGATAACGATAAAACCATGAAAGATAAAAAGATTTCCCTCATGTTTTAAAACCACGCATGAATTCTATTTCGTTTGGACAGAAATTGTAGAACGTTAAACTGAAAATCAACTGCATATCGCTCAAAAAATTAAATTGAATCAAAAATTAACCTATAACTGTAACTAAAATTAAACTAACAATCTAATAAAGTTTACAATAAGCTAAACACTAAAGTAAAACTAATCAAAATAAAAGTAACCGCAGGAAGCTAGAGATATCTCTGTTAGAAGGTACATTAATAAGCATAACTACATCTACTGGAATGCATATAGTAGTTATTTACGTATAGTTGTATAACACTCAAGGGCATTTAAACAGTTACCAAGATTTTTATTATAACTTTCCATTTATCATACGGAATTAATCACACTATTTCGCTTGTTCATATATCATGACTTTAATTGTACTTGCGCATGATTATGACTACGTTATCATCACCTATGATTAAGGATTCCCGAGGGAATCCGAAACGTCAGGACGATAAAACTCTTGTTCCAGTGATCGCATCTTCTTCTTCTGCACTTGTAAAATTGCAATTAAAAACCTATCTCGAACTAAAACAGTTCACGAAGTAAGCAGTCAAAAACTTAGTTCGGAGGACTGTACACATTTTTTCATCAATGTCAGATTAATACGCACAGCGGAGGACTTTTTGTCCGGTTTTTGATAACATCCGCGCCTAGGTTTTTATGTTAATGACAGCAAAATAACCTTCCTTTCATAGTAAATATTCTTGTACTTCTTTGACAAAATTAAGACTGACCAACGAATTTTGGTTTGTGATTGCGTGGAACTTAAATACGAAAACAAGTTAAATAAAAAGAAAGCTGTAGTGTCGTCTACTTCATCCACAATGGGATATTTATCGGTTCCTGGATCTTTATCCAATCATGGTGCCCCCATTACTTTTAGGTCATTGGAATCTGCTTCGCCGGGATAGGTCTCTACGACATTGTGCTAATGCAAAGTCTACCCGATGTTAGTTTTACGGTGATATGGGTGCCTACGCTCCTTCTGGTGCTCGGAATTTCCCTCGGTTTTGTTGCTGTTTTTGGTTCTGTTGGCGCCGGGAGGAGAAATAAGTGCCTTCTTATCACCGTAAAGTGTCCTCTTCTACTCTCACCCTGTCCTGTCTAGTTTGCCACAGAGTCAATTCTCATGCTGCTGGCGCCACTTGCTTTCGCAATATTCGCTTTGATTATGGGTGGACGGGTAAGCTGAGGCCCAAGGTTAATTCTTTCGCATTCCCAGATATTCGCACTTACGCTGGAAGTTTTCAAGAAGGATCAGAGTGCTGCAACAGCATGGTGGGGTCCGATTGAAATGGCGGTATGACTTTGGAATTGAATCTACCCCCCGGTTCGCTAGTTTAACTGCTGTGGAGTAAATGGTCCAGACGACTACACGACCATCAGTATTCCGGGCACCTGTTGCGAACCTGAAACCATCGTGTGTGCTTCCGAGAACGCGTACAAACGGGTAAGCAAAAAGTTGTAGTGAACTTTGCCTTTTATCACAATTTTTACCAGGCTAATTAAGTTTCCTTTCTTAGATTTTTTACCTTAGAAATTAAACTGCTAACTTGCGGAAGCTTATTTAGAAGAAACCATAGCAGCGATCCGTAGAGAGGTCATTTGAGGGTTCGTGTTGATAATAAGCGATTATTCGCAAATTTTAAGTAGGTCGAACTTCGGCCTATCCAAACATTTTCTTCATAATATTAACCACTAGGAATTGTCTTATATTGTTATTGGTCAATAGGCATGCTTTACTGAAGCAATGAGAGTTTATGTTGATCGATTTTGTTCAAAACAAATGTAGGAGAAAAAAATTGTTTCTCTCAAACGTTAATAGTTAGATTGATAGGACTGATACTATCCAATAAGATAGGATCGTGGTTTTAATGAGAACTGATGAGGGTTCGGAACGCCGCTTGACGTGGGGGGGGGTCATATAATGTCCAGACCTACTGTTCAAAACCATCAAGGAGGTTAGACAGGGATCTCATTGCGGTCGAAACGAAGAGGGGACACTAAGTGTCCCTAGATCATCACCGAAGTGCCGGAGATGTAAGCTTGCGCACGGGATAGACCACAAAGGAAGTGTCGAAAATGGAACAACGCGCCACGATCATCAACAGAGACCGCGAAGACCATCGTTAGGATTCTAATAAATGATAAAATTGACAGTTAATAACATTGTCAGGGTGAATTCATATGAACGGTTTTTTATGTCCGTGAAAGTTTAGTACTGTGCAATAACAATTTTGGACTATGCGCGCCTAAGCACCTACATATGATTGTCAGTCATATAAGTTAAGTTTATCCGTTACGTTTTGTTTGTAAACCACTTCCGAAGACTCAGATATATGCAAATTATATGCACCAATAATTTAAATTCTTGAAATGACTTTTTAGGAATTTTACTGCCCGTTATTTGCTTCACAGTAATGTTGTACTCACGGAAAGGCTTTCTTTAATTTAAAGGGCTGTGGCGTGATATATGTGGATACAATGAACTTCTCAAAAGTAGTCGGCGGATGTTTTCTGGCCCTTTCAGTTGTTCAAGTTCTTGCTTTTATTGTGGCATGCATGCTGATGTCAAAACTAGTCTCAATTGAGTCCACTGAAAAGCTACTTTGATAACAACATCCGCCATGCTTTGTGCCTGTTCCTGTGCCTCACAATTCTGGAATAAAATTGCCAAAATATATTTTTTTCTGAGCCTCCCTGCTGGTGTACAAAGTTGGCTAAAACACCTTTCATTTATTCATTGCCATTCTACAGGCAAGATCGAAAATAAGGTTAATTGGTAAAGCACTTTATGGGTGCCTTCTAAATCCTGGAAGACAGGAAAAGCATTTTAAAGTGTTTAGGCGGGTATCTTACAGACGTTAAAACATTAAGTATATCAGATTCTGGGAGGTTGACAACGCATGCAGCTAGAAAACGTCAACGAACTGTTCTAGAGGCCTGCAGCGAACTTTACTCAGATTTTTATTCGCCAATGGAGGTGCAGGAAGAGTAAGTGATGA